TATATTAACTATATTAATATTAGTCGATATTAATTAGGTTAAATATGAGAAGTTATGTTGGAGTATCTTCTACATTGTTAAAAAATATTTTAAAACTATCCAGATAAATTACACCACCTGCGCAGAGTGAATTTAAATGTGGTTGGATGAGAAGTATGGATATATACTATTCTACATAGCTATATGTCTTGTTTTGTTTTTATTTATTTTGTATATGTTATATTTTATCTGATATATTCTCTATGCGACTTGGATATGTTGTTTGCATGATGTTTTGTTTCTCCTTCACCTTTTCTTTGTGGGTGTCTCTGTACCCACCAGGCTGGCATTGTAAATAAGAAGTTTTTCTTAATATTCTGCCTGGTTAAAATAAGGTTAAAAAAATAAAAATTCTGGCACTCTATTAGTTTGTACTCGAGCCATCACACCTGAATGACATAAATCATGTCCGATTCAGACAACTTTATTAATCCCCAAGTGTAATTCAGTTCAGCAGTTTCCAGGTTCACACAGACCCATGCTCACACAAATGCTTGTACATAAAATCCACAGAAGAATTACAGCACATTGTTCAACAACAAACCAACAGAACTGTGCATCAAAGCACTCCAGTAAAGCGGATTCCAAAAAAGTTGGGACACTGAACAAATTGTGAATAAAAACTGAACGCAATGACGTAGAGATGTCAACATCTAAWAYTTTATTCAGAATAGAACACAAATCACAGATCAAAAGTTTAAACTGAGATAATGTATCATTTTAAGGTAAAAATAGGTTGTTTCAAAATTTCATGGCGTCAATAAATCCCAAAAAAGTTTGGACAAGGCCATTTTATTACCACTGTGTGGCATCCCCCCCCTTCTTCTTACAACACTCAACAAACGTCTGGGGGCAGAGGAGACCAGTTTCTCAAAGTTTAGAAATAGGAATGCTCTCCCATTCATGTCTAATACAGGCCTCTAACTGTTCAATCGTCTTGGGCTTTCTTTGTCGTACCTTCCTCTTTATGATGCGCCAAATGTTCTCTAAGATCTGGACTGCAGGCTGGCCACTTCAGTACCCGGGTCCTTCTCCTACGTAGCCATGATGTTGTGATTGCTGCAGAATGTGGTCTGGCATTATCTTGTTGAAAAACGCAGGGTCTTCTCTGAAAGAGATGACGTCTAGATGGGAGCATATGTTGTTCTAGAACCTGAACATAGTTCTCTGCATTAATGGTGCCTTTCCAGACATGCAAGCTGCCCATGCCACAAGCACTCATGCAACCCCAGACCATCAGTGATGCAGGCTTCTGAACGGAGCGTTGATAACAACTTGGGTTATCCTTGTCCTCTTTGGTCCAGATGTCATGGTGTCCCAGTRTTCCATAACTTCAAATCGTGACTTATCTGACCACAGAACAGTCTTCATTTTGCCACAGTCCATTTTAAAAGACCCCTGGCCCAGTGTAAACATCTGAGCTTATGGAGCTTGCTTAGAAATGGCTTCAGCCGGCAACGGCGGATGGCACGGTGGATTGTGTTCACTGACGATGCTTTCTGTAAGTATTCCTGAGCCCATTCTGTTATTTCCTTGACAGTGGCATTCCTGTTTGAGGTGCAGTGACGTTTAAGGGCCCGGAGATCACGAGCATCCAGTAGAGTTTTACAGCCCAGCAATTGTTCCAGATTCTCTGAATCTTTTGATGAGGTTATGCACGGTTGATGATGATAACTTAAAAGTCTTTGCTATTTTAGGCTGGGTAACACCATTCTGGTTTTGCTGCACTATCTTTCTGCGCAACAATGGTGGAATTGGTGATCCTCTTACCAGCTTGGCTTCAGAGAGACACTGACACTCTTAGAAGCTCTTTTTATACCCAAACATGTTGTCAATTGACTAATTTGTGTTAATTGGTCTTCCAGCTGTTCGTTACATGCTCAATTTCCTTTTTCCAGCCACTTATTGCTACTTGTCCCAACATTTTTTGGAATTTGTTGACGCCATGAAATTTTGAAACAACATATTTTCCCTTCAGATGATA